GGTGGAGGCATAATATAGTCACTTTTCCATGAGAGTAAGGTCTCCAAGCGGTAATCGTGATGTGCGAGCGCCGGTGTTTTTTAGCAACTGAGTGGCACACTTCTTTGCTCGCGGGCCAGTCATCTCCTTACAGAAACGTGGTTTTCGCATGATAAATGCCACGGAATGAAATGGGGGGATTGTTAAGTAAGGCGGGATAGTTCAATATTTTTCTATTCCTGGATTTTCACTCACCTTCATGTGTTTCAGTTTACCTCCTCTATTTATCGCGCATTAAATCATGAAAAAAAGAAACATTTAACGAGCTCAAAATTCTTAATTATAAAGAACATCGACTTGGCGAACTGCGTAAGTGCCCATGAAATACGGGCAAAGCAGCAGTCAATCCAGAAGGCAACATCTTCCGATATGAAATCAAATTCATCAATATACATTATTTTCCCTTTAATTTAATATTGCAAGCATTTGTTTCTCGTCAGTTGGCTTCAAAATGAATAGATAGCAAAAAAAGGAAGACGGTACAGTGTAGCCTGGTGGTCAGATGTGTTCTCAGAGTTTCAAGGTGCAATACAGTAAGCTGCCGTTTATAAGCCCTGGGCTTACAAATTTTCGAGAGGTGTTTTGGGAGGGTTTGTGAACAGAGGGACTTAAATTTGAGGGGACTTACAACCGGAATAAATGAAAAGCGCTTCGAAGCCAGCTAAAGCACCTGCTGATCAAAATTCAATTTGCATTTATTGTTTTTTTTCTTTTTTTGATCAAACTACAAAACGTCATAATAAATTGAATTCAGAGAGGGGGTGTATCCGGGAGGCTAGTAATCGGATGTATTTTTTCGTTTACAGGTAGATGGGGGAGGGGCCAATAAGTGGGGAAGCTTATTAGCGGCAGTTTATGGTAGAGCGTTTCAGTGATCACACACAATGAAACGAGGTCGAGGCTAGGGTCAACTTTTCCTTTCGCCACTTTAGAATCCAGAAGGGAACTGGAACCAAAATGTGTCCCGCAATTGTTCCTGGGTACGTTACTGGGGATGTGCCGGCCAATTTTTTTCCTTGTTCCTAATGAGAGTCCCAGAAGTCTTTGCGAAATGTAGCTCAGCCCGGTGTCTTTCTTGTTCCTAAACTGGCAGAATTCAATGAAATCATTGCATTTTGCCACCCAAGGAGCCGTTTAGTAATCGCCTCCTGTCCTGGGGCCAGTTCCTCGAAAGTCCCGGTAACTTTTCGGGCTCGGAAAGCTGTTTTACGTTTGCCATGTTTTCATTCAAGATCGAAATTTCAATAATTTTGAAAACGATACAACGAAACCATCAGTTAGCGAAGAACGAAGCAAAACTGACTGGTTTGCGGGCTAGGAACTTGGCTCTTAATATTCAGCAGGTTTGATTTTAAAATTTGCCTTCGGGCCTGAAAAATTTCCGGGTATTTCGAGAAACAGGCCCCTGGTCACCTCAAGCCTTGACTCGAAGCCTTTACGCGAGTATACGTAGCAACGAATTTTCACTCAAGCCTTGATGTAGGTGGGCAGGGATACAGAATATAGGGAGAGTAAATCGGTTGGTTAAAGACAACTTTCTCTAATGAAATAAATGAAAATTATTTTTTTGAATACGTCAGTGAAGACAGGAGCCCATCAATTGGAGCTTCTATCTCCATTAATTTCTGGAGTCAACCCTTTCCCGAGTAGATTTATAAATAGAACGGCTCGTTTCCCCGAAAAGTGTCATACTTCCGTGAGTTTCGTATGTCGACGTGAAAAAGTACTGTTACTGTTACTGTTACTGTTATATATTTTACAGTCGCTGGGATCTGGGTATCATGTAATAAAAGTTAATAAATTACCCGATGCGCTCAGGGTTAAGACTGATAGTTAAAGGTAGGGGTTGCTACTTCTGAGAGTACCCTGATACTCGAGTATGAGCAGGCGCACCTCACACTAAGAAGAAAAAAAAATTACTTGTTTCCTGTGCACGGTTGAGTTTTCTTAGCACCATGTATAATTTTTAGCATAACTCGTCATTTCAAGAATGATTTTCTTTTCTTTTTTCCTTTTTTTCCAAAAAAGCACTGCACGTTTCGCTAGTTTTGCAGCACAAAATTGTCATTTCTTTATCCTTTTTTTTTTTGGACGCAAGATAAGTGTTACGGGCAACTTTAAGTAACAAAATCAATTTTTTGTCTGCTTATTGTCACATTCGTGGGACTCAGATTTCATGGGACCCGAGTCCCACAGGAAGTGACCTTGCTAGGGCCTCCCCAGAGGGTCTCAATGGGGTGGTGGCTTTTACGATTATCGGCTTAAGTTTTGGCTCTTCTGCGGCTATCAGTTATTTTTTTTTAGTTACGGTTAACAAAAAAGTTAAAAAATAATTTCTTTTGTTTCAAAGAATCAGTGGCTGTAAAATATAAAAATGGACGTATAATAAAAAAAGGAAAACGGTCGAAGGACGGGCTTCTGAGTTCGACTTCATCCAACAGTATTTTTTCACGGTGACATACGAAACTCACAGAAGTATCAATGACACTTTTTGCAGGAAACAAGCCGTTCTATTTTTTAAATCCACTCGGGAAAGGGTTGACTCCAGAAATTAGTGGAGATGGAGGCTCCAATTGGTCGGCTGCTGTCTTTACTGTTTCAAAGAGTTAAATATTAATAAACCTGTATTTTTTTGTATCTCTAAAGCAAATAGATGTCCTGGGATCATCTCGGGATGAAATAAATTATTCTTTTGAAAATTTTTAATATTTGATAGATCATGCTTTTATAGTATTCCACTTCTAATGTCATTTTACGCATAGAAATGTTAACTATGAAAAATAAGATCCGCTCAAAGCTGTTTGTTGTCTTTTGCATCTTGACATAATTTCCTTTTCTTCAGGGGCTACTGATTCGTTCTTCGCGTCGCTTTGTTTTTGCTACCCTCTTCTCTTTTTACTACCACGATAGGGTCTTTACCCTCCGAAGAACAGATTTGTACATCATGAACTAAACAAGGACAAGCAAAAAGATTGAGAACTCGAACATTTCTGTGACTCTCACAACAAGTGTAGGAGCCAAGCTGAGAAGTACGGCTTTGAAGATGAGAGTTTTCTCATTCTCTTAAAATAAGATGAACTCTTTGTTTTAAAATAGGAAAAAAAATTTTAAGCTGTTGCCAGTCAACCAAACTTTTGTGAGCCATCAAAAGGATCATTCCTGAAAAAAGACAGTTCATTTGAAAAGAACCTTGAATTCGTGAAAAGCAACACTAGCAGAAACGCGAACGTACCGAGTCAAAGTAGCGACAGAATAAGAAACACTTGAAACGGTCGTAAGTGAGTTCAGCACCTTCCTCAAAATTATCAAACCTAAGGAGCAAATTTATCTTACAGCTAACCATTTTTAGCTTATTTACTACTAGCGGTTAAAATTTTTCAATTTACGGCTATCGAACTGAATTTTCTACACCTATCGATTAACCCCATTGAGATCCTCTCTTCAAAGGATTCAACGCATACGCATATAGCTAGCTCAGTTACCCAAGATGGCGTCCTTGTGCTGGTTATTTACTTGAATTTTTATAGTTTTCAGAGAAAGAATTACATAGAATTACGCACCCTTAAAATTTCTAGATGTAAATAGGATAAATATGTTTGTCATTTACTTGTCTGTTGTATAGTTAATGAAGTATTTTTACAGAATTTGACGTAAAAACGGTAGAAACATAATTTCTGCATATTTTGCTAAAATGAGTATAACTTTCAAAAAATTGCATAATTATTGGCAGAATTGAGAAACATACCGGCACTAGTTTTGCTAGTAGCATGTTATGCTACTTTTCGAGCACAATCTTTAAAAGTCTACCTCCGAAGGGTCTTTCCTTATAGTCCTCATCATATTTCTACGTAAATCAGTACTGATACACTCTGCACGTTTCTCGTAAATTTAACTTGGCTGACGTATTCGTTTCGGTTCCATTAACGTTTCCTTTATCCTAATTTTTCTGTCTATTTTATTTTTATTGGTTTTCATTTTAAAGAAAACCAAAACTTCAATTCATCACAAACAAGGGAAACTAAATTAACACACATCATCCATTTTTCTTTTCTTCTCAGGTGATAATGATCCAACAACCATTATACCAAGCTAAGGTTTTTTGCGGAGACTGTGCAGCAGGATTAATGATAAATGGTCTAAAAGTTGATAATTTTTGGGAATGATTCTCGAATTTTCCATGTGCATCCCGCCTCGTACTATCTCTCAGAAGAATAAAATAAAAATACATCTTCTATGAAGTCATTAATCACCTGGAATCAATAAAATATATACGAACAGCAAATCAATCGGAAGAGTGATGCCATAGTATTCACGTTAATGGCAATTGACAATTGGTGTGGACGGGTCTTGTTCTGAAAATCACGTTTTGGAGTTAATCTTCACATAAAATTGCCCAACATTTACATGAGTATAAATAGGCTGTTTTGATCTTTTGGTCACTTTTTCCCTTGGATCGCCGTTATTACACGAACCTGATCAATTCATCGAAATACCTGACTGACTATATCGACCTGACATCGTTCACCGCAACCATCACGGCAGTCTAAATGGCCAACAGACGCTTAAGAAGCATAGATCACTCGAACCAAGCAAAGCTACCATCGATCATGAGAAAAAGCACCACTTCCTACAGTCCAGTAGACACTGCAGATAAGGACATAACGCTGCATTTTCCAACTTTTCAAAGATGTGAAACCAACCACTCAAGACGCATTAAGGCACCACTATCTTTCCCCGCGGAGAAAAAGTTAAATCAATACTTTTGCTTGGCGTTCGACAATGAACTTCCACCAATTCCCCAAATTGGGAAAAAGTCCGGAATATCATTTAAGAAAGTTAGCGGGGACCAAGAGAGGAAAAGTAATGACAAGCTAGATAATAAGCAGATGCTTAGGTCGCTGTATAGACAGGAAAAAGAAGCTACCGCTTCAACAAGGTCCCAGAAAGCTCCTCGAAATTCCATCCATTTACTTCAGCGACGTGTCAATCCTGGCCGAATGTACCAACAAAACAATGACCGCATATCTTATGAAGAGCTCCTTGCTTTTGATCAAAATATAGATCAGCTACGCGCATTTACAGAGAGAGATGTCAAGTGGAGCAATATGAAGGATTTTAGTGGCAAAGTAATCGACCCGAAAACGACGGGAAACGGTGATATTACATTATACGTCGAGCGGTTTGAAGAAGATGTGAAGAAGAGAAATTCCGTTGATCACGATAGACGGCTGTCTTTAAAGAAGGAAACAAAGGTTCGTGTTCAAGGCCGATTTTATGAGGCATTGGATCTTCACTTTTATCACTGCTACAGGAACACTCATCCTGAAAGAAGAATGGCTATTTGCGAAGAAATTGAACGAAAAATTGTAATTGACGACGTTACACTGACTCGTTTCAGAGAACACCTAAGTTTAGAAGAAATATTGAACACGTGGGTTGTGTGAAAACAGCACTGGACATTTAAGTCAACTAACTTTCAGTTTACCCAAGTGTTGGTAAAACTAAAATGTTGGGAGGGGAACGGCTGACTCTTAGGTAAATCAGTACAGACTCTAACATCGGCGGCAGTTTCTTCCACTTAACCAGTTATGTCTTATATTTATCTTTAAGTAGAACAAGATAGAGGCCGGTATCAACATGTAGTTTCACTCCTTAAATCATACATTATCAATTTGCGAGCGAAAAAGATTAAAACTGTATTAAAAGACAAGGTTTAGAAATCAAACTGATTAATGTAAGTTGTGTTTGTCATCTAGAGTTTATACTGACCTCCCCCTGGCCTCATCCTTGTAGCGAACGAAACTCAAATGTTCACCATCAAACCCACACGTGTTTATTTGGGACACGACAAGACAACACGTTTTATTGAACTTTCAACCACCCACACGGCAATACTTTATTAGTCAACAGTCCGCTCATTAACAGTTCCCGACAGGCATAGATTAATTTACCTCCGCAATTGATGGAAACTTAGGGCTTTACCTTAGATGGAAAATTTTAAATCCTGTAAAAAATATTCAGCCGAATGGGAAACACTTAACTTTTCTTGACTTTCTAAATGAAATGAGCAAACCAGACCTTGTCGCAGTGATTTTCAGTTGCTATTGTAGAAAGTAAAATAAGGTTTGTTCAAACAGCAGTGCTAAGCCTTTTATGGATGTATTTTACCTGCTGTTGGATAACATATGAATACCATCAACTCTCCATAACACACACACCATTGGACCGCCACTTAAGTGTCCGATTTAGAGAGATGTCGGTCTTATAGGGAGTCAGAGGATATGACTGAACAACATAAGGGCCAACTGGTACTCTCGTGCCCAGAGCCCGCTTTCTTTTCGCCACGCAGTTTTGACAAGAATTAAGCCGAGTCGGCTCTGGGGCAAGATTGCTAGGGAGTTTAAGTAATGAACTTGTTATTTTGCCAATCTAAACCTACTGCTTTTTTGCCGTTCTCTTTACCGTCGCCGTCCCTAATAACTGTTATCCGTTACGAGAATTGACTGTTGAAATAAAAGGCAGCTGACTCGTCGCAAGTCGTCTCTCAGTCTCCTATAAACATTAACGAGAGAAGCGCGGTCAGCAAGGGAAGCGCGAGGGGTGTTGGGAAGGAGAACTTGGTGTTCCTCCTTCCCATCATCTCTCACGCTTGCTTCGGTCACCCTCCCGCGTTCTGTCTCCCGAGTGCGTCGTGCGATTCCCGCCTCGAAATAGATAGGGAAGACTGGGTATTAGTCAGAAAAAGCAGCATTATTATACAACTTTCCCCTTAAGGGGAGGTGAATAGTGGTGTAAAACCGCGACGCGAAGCGTCGAGGTATAAATCTAGCGCTATTAACCGACTGTGAGAGGAATATTTGTTTAGGAATTTACCAAATCAGTCGGATAAAAACAAAAACACAACTTTTTGTAAATTAAAAACGTCATTTAGTAGGAACTTTGTTTACAATTTACAAACATTTCGGGGATTTTGGGGATTGTGCATTTTACGATTTTGCTGCAAAATTCAGCATTAAAATAATTTTCTACATACCAGTAGACACCGACAAGCCAAAGTTTGTCGCTTTCTTGGTATTTTTTTGTACGACTACTTCATTTATCTCTCAAATCTTGGCTCCGGTCGCAAAACAGTGAATAGCCAAGGATATTCCGAGTTATGGGAGCCAATCAAACCGCGCGAAAATTGCTATTCACTGCATTGGTAAATACTAACATGGGATACGCCACCAGGTGTTGGCATTAGGTCAGCAATACTCTGGCCCAGTTCCCTGGCTTCAAGGGGCTGAAGCAGACCCAATACCTTGTTCTTGGCAATTTGGGGCCAAAGGAGACAGTGCAATAGCAAATTTAAATTCATTACTTGCTTGGTCCATGGGCTAAAGATAACATTTTTATTATATACATACTGAGAAATACTCACCAAAAAGCTATGATTTGAGGGCGGCGCTCTCTCGATTAAATGCCATAGGATATTGTTTTTGAGTTTCGAAAGAGCACCAAGGTTCACCGCGGTGCTTATTTCTGTCCGACTTAAATTGAGAACGGCGCTCTTTCGAGTGTATACGGTTTGGTTAGTATTTGACTGTTTTATTACATTTGTGGTCAATTTTCATTACATGTGAGGGCTTTATTACATTTGCGGTCAATTAATATTTGAACCGACATTATCGATATTTGTTTTCATAGAGAAGAACACTTTGAAGGCTTGCTTAGGAAGTAACCAGATTAAATTTATGACTTATCAGTTAGGCCAACGGAAAGAATTTCCTCCTTTGTTAATACGTTTACATCAGTTGCTACAACCAATATCAAAATCACGGAAGTCATACCTTAAAGATACTACCGATTTTATAAATTATAAAAGGTGAACAATCGAACATTTCATGTTTCAGTGGACGTCACAAGTCTTGGCAAATACGCCACAAAACGAGGGTAGTGACTACACATTACCTGCTGGAAATGCTTAGATTAATCCTGAAAGAAAATTCTCTCTAGTTCAGTGGGAAACATCACCCACGGTAAAGCGATGGGCACAAAGACAGCAGTTTCCTTTGCTAACATTTTCATGGCATATATTGAAAACAAAATCTAAGCAAAACCGTCTTTAAACCAACAGTTTGGAAACACCACGTACTACATACTTTAGACGACATTTTTTTTTCCCTGACGGGCATAACTAAATCAGACATCGTAGCCGAGTTTCTTCGAACAAGCAAACTTACATCACCCTACTATTAAATTCCCGGCCGAAATGACTGAAACTGAGACTGTTTTTAGACACAGTTGTATATACAAATTGGGCAAGCACAAGATTCCACGAAAAAGCTATCCTTGAAGTGAAGACACATTTTAAACAAACGGAAACCTTCCAGTACACACATTTCAACTTCTGTCACCCACAAAGTGTTAAAATGGATTTGCCTTACAAACTCTTTTGAAGCAACGTTTGAGGAAAGTATTTCAATTTCAAAACGGCTTGATGGACAGAGGCTACCGACACAATTTGAAAGAAAAGCTGCTATCAGAAATAAACTCAAAGGAAATCATCGTTCCTGAAACAAAACAACAAGGAAGAAAAATAAATTTTGCCTTTGGTGGCAATACCAACCCTAAGTGTCTACTGTAAAAGGAACTTTAATGGAAAAGTGGAATCATGCAAACAAACCACTACTTTGCCAGATTTTCAAAGAACCACCTATTCTTTCCTAGAACAAAGGAAATTCATTACAGGGGATGCTCGCGAGAGCCAAAATATAAAAGGTCAACACATGGTTTCACGCCGGTATAGATGTGCAGCCTGTCACCTCTCGCAGTTTTTCACTAAGAATAATTTACGTATCCAAAAGGCTAGAGAGGGCGTTTTGCTCCGCCTCCAGTTAACCTCTCTTGGCTACTTTTCATTGTGCCATGCAATAAAAAGGGAAACCAAGTTCGCATTTACAATAAAAGCTTTGGCGATTTTATCTGTACTGTATTGGCAAACAAAGGTGAAATAAATGATCATGTTGCATAAACAATTCACAGTTAATGAAGTTTTTAAAGTGCAATGAAATGATGCATTCTTACAAGTTCTACACGTTTCATGAGGATCAAAGTCTTGAAACTGGGCGAAATACGTAACAACTTTTAGTAATTAACATAGTTTACATTTTTACTTATTAACTGAGACTTACCGACAACCGACAAAGTAACTGAATTTTAACCGACAACCGACAAGTGGATCCTCCCATTCAGACCCTCATATATAATTCTTTGGAATAGCCTGGAAAACATCCGATTCAAACTTCTTTTTTCCTCGCGAAGGAACCTTCAATGACCCAGAGCTCTCTTCGGAAACCAATAACGCTGGAAACGTTTAGCCAGATATTACATCCGGTGAGATGTGAGGCAAGAGCCAAACGAAACGTCAGCGTTTAAGTTGCATTTTTATTCACACATTTGCAGTTAATGTTCAGTTTCAGGCACCAATATTTCAATATTTAATATCATCTAAACTGTGGAATAATTTGCTAGAGCTATATTTCCGTGCGCATGTGAAAACCACTGCTAAGCACCTCTGCTTCACAAAGTATGACAACTGCCAAGTGAATACCTTTACTGAAATCAAAAGGCATCGAAACAACTTTACGAGATATATTTTTGACCAAGGTTAACGAAAAGAGAGAAGCAGAAGAGATTCCAATTCTTTTATGACAAGCTGGCGCCTTCTTTTTGCTTAAAACGATGGACAGATGACAAAGTTCTTTTGTTACCATGAACCTTGAAGAGGACCTCTGAAGCTCTGACATCATGGATTTCACATCGACGGTCTGCCAACGCTTGTTAAGGATCTCCGGCAACATTTTCACACTTGTTGGTGGCCAATCCCAAGAGTTATAAGCAACCAGAAGGGTTTCCGGACCCGAAAGAACATCATACGGGGAGGAGTATCCGACAAACAAGAAACCTGAGTTTGTTAGTTACAGCAGACATCTGCTCACTCAGTATGGCCTCAGGCACAGGCCGGTAATAAGGGTCAGAAGCAAAATGGAACACTGCAAAGAAGGAGTAGTCATCTTTAAATTTGCCTCCGTCTAACAAATACCCTAATTTGCCTTGTTTAACAAATACACTGGGGCATTAATTTGCCTGTATTTAACAAAATACACTGGGGCATTAATTTGCCTGTATTTAACAAAATACACTGGGGCATTAATTTGCCTGTGTCTCACAAAATGCACTGGGGAATTAGTTTGCCTGTGTTTAACAAAATACACTAAGGCATTAATTTGCCTGTGTTTAACAAATACGCTGGGGCATTAATTTGCCTGTGTTTAACAAAATACATTGGGGCATTAATTTGCCTGTGTCTATCAACAACATCGGGCATTAATTTGCCTGTGTTAACAACAACACTGGCGCATTAATTTGCCTGTGTCTAACAAATACACTGGGGCATTAATTT